AGGAGTCGCTCGTGTTAGTGGCCGGCAACGGGAACAAAACTCCAAGCGACGCGTGGTTCCTCGATACCGGCGCAACGCAACACATGACGCACTCGACGTCGCTCCTCAACAACATTGGCGCTCCGGGAGACGTCACGAGCATCGTGTTCGGAAACAACGAATCGCTACCGGTGGTTGGAGTTGGGAGTACACGCCTCATCGTCGATAGCGGACCGGTGGACGTCACGAACGTGCTTCACGTCCCGGGGGTGAAGGTGAACCTTCTATCCGTCCCGCAACTTGCAAAGAAGGGCGTGATCGCCACCATCGACGGCGCGAAGATGAACCTCTTTTGGAAGGGGGAGCAATTCGCGCAAGGTGTTCTCAACGGAGATATATACCAACTCAAGACGTACCCGAGAGCGGCTTCATCCAACGTGGCGCAAGGCTCCATGGCGACTCTTAAGGCGTGGCATAATCGGCTTGCGCACGCCAAATACGAGTCGGTCAAGGAGTTGGCCAACAAAGGACTTGCGAAGGGAGTCGACGTGATCGCCGGCGACAACAAGAAGGGCGTGTGCGCGGCGTGTGTCGAAGGAAAAATGGCTCGGAAGCCATTTGGTAGCCGTACCTCTCCCCTCGCTAAGGACCCGCTTGCACTTGTTCCCATGGATGTGTGTGGACCGATGTGGTGCGCATCAAAGGGAGGAGCACGGTTCCTCTTGGTGATGCTCGACGACGCGACACGGATGTGTTGGACCCGACTCTTGAAGGCTAAGGGAGATGCGGCCAAGGCGATTCAAGAGTGGGCGCTCGATGTTTGCGACGACGACAAGAAGCGGATCAAGTGTATTCGTACCGACGGTGGCGGCGAATTCGTGAACAACGAGCTTGAAAAGTGGATGAAGAGCAAGGGCATTAAGCACGACGTCACGACATTCTACACACCCCAACAAAATGGAGCGGCGGAGCGGCTTAATCGAACGTTGGTGGAGGCCGTTCGTTCACTTCTTCAACACTCCAAGCTTGGGAACGAGTGGTGGGGAGAGGCGAGTGCGCTAGCGGCATGGATTCGTAATCGTGTGCCAACAAAGGTGCTACCGGGAACGACTCCGTTCGAAGCATGGAGCGGAACGAAGCCGAACATATCTCGCCTTCGTACCTTTGGGTGCCTTTGCTACTACCATGTGCCGGATCCACTTCGCCACAAGTTGCAATCGAAGGCTCGTGCGGCGATCTTCTTGGGAGTTGCGCCAAACGAGCGTGCATGGCGAGTGTGGAACTTGGGTGATGAACGCGTCGTCACGTCTCGGGATGTGGTCTTCGACGAAGACAAGTTCCCGGCGAAGGAGAAACCAACTCAACAAGTCACCTTCATCCTTCCGGCACGAGAGGAGGTTGAAGAAAGTGAGGTTCTACCTCAAGTGGAGAAGGAAGCCGATGGAGGGGGAGAGAACAACGAGGTTAGCGTTGATGATGTCGTGGAGGTGTCACCAACCGAGGCGGCAACTACCTCCACACATTCCTCCCTACCATTGGCCTTGGCTCGCGAGCGTCGTGAGGTTCGTCCTCCCTCCAAGTACAACGACTACGCTACGGTAGCCGTTGGGGAGACGGATAAAGGGGGCGCGGCATTTTGCTTCGCGACCAAGGGCGATGATGAACACGCGGAATCTCTCATGGAACCACCCCCTAAAGATCCATCCCGTGCATGCTATGAGCATGTTGGTTTGCACACCTAGTGGGTTGGGTGCAAGGGGGAGTGTTGGAGGTGGCGTATGTTGAAAGCAAGGTGGTGGTGGGGCGATTGATATGCCCCCAACCCACCGAGTGTGTTTCTTCTAGGTGCTCAAGATTGAGCGAGCTAGAATTTTCGTGAAGGTGCAGGTTGACTTCGGAGGACTTGCACTTCGGTGCCACATGGCAACTCAAGAACAATCGAGACTGAAGAAGAATTCGGTTCGGTGAAATTCGAGTGTCGAATTTCACCCCTTCGAAATGTTACTCGAACATTCGCGAGTGTAGCGGTTCGAGGTTACTTGTGCGACTCGATCTTGTTTGCATGCTATAAATCTGTTTTCTTTGTATTGCATGAAATCATACTGATCACATAGTGAAAGTCAGAGTTCTTTGTACAAGGTACATTCGAACACAAATTCCAGAGAGCTTCTATACTTGCATTCAAGAGCACCACCCAACACGTGAACGCCTATATCTCGGCGGATACTTAGGCGATCGACGTGTGTGACGGCTCGTTGGAAAGCTAAGACAGAGCTCTATCGTTTAGAACAACTCCCAGTTCCTGCAAAGTAGAGGAGAGTCCTTTACAACATCAGCCTCGCAGGAAGAAAGGCAAACGGAGGAGGAACGAGTGGAGCGCTAGCTGATGAGGAAATATATTTATGGTTAATGCCTCCCAAATGGCATCTTTTCCTAGAGAGTTAAAGGGTAAAAGATATATACATAATGGGAAACACATCCAAACAAAGGAGGCATCAACACTATACACATTGCCGCCCATTTTGCGTTCCGTTCACTGGGGGGTTTATTCTCTTATCGGGCAGGTTGGTGCATGGGAAAGCGCCAATATTTTGCTTCTATATAGGCAAATCAAGCAACGACGCTGCCAGCTCTAAGAAAAAAACAATTTTCCACATCACACTAGGTGCTATTACGGCGTTGTTTATGCAAGATCCAAAGCCAAGTGGCACGACAATACTACACCTAACCACCGCTATTTTCTTTCGGTCTATTTTCAACCCCACTTGCACAAGTGGGGTATGCACCCTTTCTAAATCTTTGACCGAGGGTTGTGTGGGGCATCATTAAATTTTAGCGAGAGTCTGTTCCAGATCCCCGAAGAGAGTACTGTAGAATTGCGCTATGGATTCAGATTCGCATAATGAGTTTAAACTTCGAGGATTAGGCGTCATTCATAGCCCCATTCAAATAAGTGTCGAACTGAAATAGTCGAAAACGTGCAGGGTAACTTTGAAACGCGAGATTAGTGGGTTGGGTTTCCCCTTGAAAATAGCGGTGGTTAGGTGTACCAATCAGCCAAGTGAAGCTCAACTGGAAATATCAACACCGGCATCTAAGATCAAGTTGCCGCATTTACGTGGCTAAAATTGAGCATCCGCATATAGGCAGGCTCGGCCGTTCCCCCTGCGATGTGAGGGTGGTCGACGGAATTGAGTCAGTCATACGGTCGATCGCGTCACACGATCTCGTCTCTTCCTGAGAATAGCGCGCTGCGGTTCATCCTCACAGAAAAACTGCAGTACAGATGATGCTCGTTTGGCGCACCCAACTTTGCCTTGTGCTTTGGGCTTATAAGTGGTTTTTGCATTTCGCTAAGGTTTCGTCAATTCGCACCTAGCAAAATGGGCTTATAAAAAGCAATTGTAACTCATCGTTGACCTTTTGACTTCAGTCTTCTTAGTCAAACCTCGGTTTCTGTTGTTAGTATTGGCTGGTTTAGGTGGCAACTTGTTCGAGGTGCTTGTAAATGGGGTGCAGCCTCACGGCACAAAACCAACCGGGTGCAAGGTTTCCATCCGGTGCAAGGCAAATTCGCGTGCAGGAGGAAAGCATCACTTGTACGCGGGCAGAGCAACGAGGTTGACACACAGCGACCCTGGTCAAAAACGATTCGCGACACACAGCGACTCCGGCTAGGAGGCAAACACGGAAGGGCCACATCGACAACTGCGAACCTGATTTCTAAACTGTTTTGTGGACGTTATCATTCCCCTCACTTATGCCCGCCCGCGGTGAAGATAGACAGCTGTTCCAGGTCACACGCGCCAAAAAACTGGTGGAGTACGATCGTGATCATATCTCAATCAATCTGGAGCAGTTACTTCCCGTATTCACAAAAAAAATCACTACGTAGAACAAAAAAATACGGGAATCCGAGTTGTGACCCATTACGCCCTGCCTCTGCAGTGTGCCTTGGCAGTCGTACCCAAGAAATGTCAGTGTGTTTTTTTTTTTGAGGTTGAATCTAGCTGGGCGGAAAAACCGAAAACCCTGCCTGGCTAAAACTTTTGGGTCCTGCAGTCGATCCTACATTTATCAATTGCGACGTGTTGCGACCCAAAGAGGCCGGGTCGCAGGAGCCAGAAACTCTGGTCGAACTTGGTCTTCCTGCCTAGATTCGACGTGTGTGTGGTTGTCTCTATGCGTGGTGGTTGAGATTTTAGTGGTGTAGGTGGGGAGATGAGAGGCCTGTCGGTGGGCCTTCTATATGCGGTCACTAGCGATACACGCCACTCTCTGTGCTAGAGCTGAATCTCTGGTGTTTCAAGCCGATTTTGGAAATTACAGTCACAAACGCCACGACACACTCCAGCTTAGAGGAAAAGCCACGCAGTTTATGAAGTTCTGCAAAAGGGAAAGAAATGGCAGGGTGTCTGCCGTAACGAGCCAGGACACGGCAGTGTTGCACGTAACAGCATTTGCAGGGTTTGTTACACCCACTTATTCGTTTGATGCACCCGCGATTGTGCCACCGGCTCGGTACGTTCACATAGAAGGTTGGGAGCGATGTGTTTATGTCACATAGAATCGATTCACACGCGTGATAAGTTCAGCATTAAATTGCTAAACGTCGAAGAAAATTGGTGGCAGAACACTACAGTTACACGCATTCGCGCTAAAGACGAAGCCAAATTTATTAGTCATGATTAGGTCAGGCCGGCCTACAGTTCCAAAAACGTATTTATAGCCACATTTTGGGAGGAAGGGACGGCAATACGCAGGAAAATGTGACTCGCAGACGTTAGGGACAGCTGGATCTGGCGCGCTATGGTAAGCTCGGTGTTCCTTGTCTATGCTGAGGGTTTCCGAACAACAACACACCAGGCAAAGCTACAATGTCCGCTGCCTCATATAGTCGTCCGATGAGCTGCCATTACAGCAGACTAGGTTTTGGACGCTCGACTCTCTGTCTATCTCTCCCGTCTACCTACACAGTACGCGTCTGAGTCTTCTAAGTGCACACGATGAATATACAGCGTATGCTGGTGCAGCGAGACAACGTGTCATGCGCGGCCAGTGCCCTGACCACACTGTCAACGGAGCAGGAGCGCCGAAAGCGCAAGGTGAAGCAGGAGTTGCCACGCCCTCGTACAGTGACATCGGCGGGCAGCGGTGTGAGGGGCGCAGGAGAGGTGCCGCCGCCTCCCAGTGACGATGTCGTTGCCCGTCTTGCCCGCCCCAACTATCAGCGTGATTTCCAGACGTTGGCGCTCTACGGTCCCCATGGAGTGGGGTGTCAGCTGCCAGCACAGGACGTCCTGACGCTCGCTGACGGACAGTGTCTGGCCGACACAGTAGTGGACTTCCATAACATGTAAGGCCCACGAATCGGTGTGTACTATACATGCTGTATGCTCTTTTTTTCGTATCTTGCCTGACGAGCCATTTCGTGCATATGTGCTGTGATCCAGACTATTGAACATAAGGTATCCGAAGCTGGAAGGAGGCAAAACCTGGTTCGCTCTGGACACAAAGGCGTTTACGTTCGCGACATCCCTGAACAAGGCTTGGCCCCTTGGCCATGCACCGTGTATTTTCGCACAGGACTACCTCGCCATCCCAGTGTGTTACGAGTAAGGCGTCTACCCCTTGATGCTCATGCTGTTGATAGTTGCCGGGTACCAGAGCAGTTGGTGTCGACACGCGTTCCCTAACATACAACGTGCTTACATGTGCCAGGGGCCACTACTCGCTGGTCATAGCTACGAACCTCCGCACCATGGTCAGCGGGAAGCTATCCGAGACTGCAGAGGGCGGCGTGGAGCTGGTGCATTACGATAGTGCACAGCTGCACACCAAGAGGCTGGAAGTGATGGAGGGCGTCAAGAAGTGAGTGGTGCATCTTGTACTTGTGCCATGCCCAAATCTTGATAAATGTTGTTGATGCCAACATAACGACCACCGGTAACCTACTTCCCTTGCAGGATGTTGCTCATGCTGCACAAAGCTCAGCTGCCCACGGCCGACTGGAAGCAGGCAGAGGACCACTTGAAGTATGCCGACGTCCACATCATGCATGTGAGTGCACTTCATGTCGCAGTCATGTCGCGGACACAGTCTGGTTTGTCAGTCACTTGACGTGTGCGCTCTCATGTTCCGTGTCTGCTGGCAGCCGGAAGACATCCCACAACAGTCGAACGTGGTAGACAGTGGCATTTATGTGGGCATGTATCTCCACGCCCTGGTTTCGTCCGGCTTCTCAATCCTCAAAGAGTGGATGCCGTTCTACGGCGTGAAATCGTGGGCCTACCGGCGCCAGCTCCGCGAGGAGGTGTCCCTCCACGCCACAGGTGACCTTATTGTCAAGCTATTTGGGGAGGGTGTGGATGTTCCCGTGCAGCCTCTTCCCCAGGTGGGAGAACACGGCGCCCTCGTCTTTCCCAAGGAGGACGAAGTCCGCACCGACCTGGCGAGGCAGTCAGGCATGATAACCCGGGTGGAGCTAGGGGGGTACGTTGTGTGTGCGGCTGTCATGGGCCTGGCACGTTCGCTGGGCATTTCGGAGGATCAACTGCTGAGTGGAGCGGCACACGAGCTTCAGGCACACGGCACGCCTCTGCTGGCTCTGTCCACGTCCAAGAACCACGTGGAGCACGCCGCATCTATGCGGACGCTCGGCATGACCATCCAATCGGCTCCCTGTCCGCTTCCGCTGCCATCGTTCCCTTCTGCGCATCTCGATGGGTCGTCCATCATTCATAGTGAGCCGACACCAGCCGATGTCAAGCCCGTGACGACGGGGGAGCAGGAGCTCCCAACCGCTCCCGTGACTCCGGCAGCACCGCCGACGGTCTCGCGCTCTGCCAGGTATCGCACGCGTGCCGGGACTAGGACTGCAGCACGGGCCGTGCGTCAGACCAGCATGCCTGCCGCGTACGGTGGTCGGCCTGCATCCAGTCGCTAGACAGGGGTGAGTTGGTGCCCACGGGGCCGAAAGTGGGGGGTTAAGATGGTGTGCGGCCCAGGCACTGGTCAGCAGATCAGGCTGGGTGCGTATAATGTGGAGCTCGATGCGGCGTATGCGTATGCCGCGGCGGCATTTGTGATCAGGCGTAATGACCACATCCAGCACACGAAGGAGCTGTCGGACGCGGAGAAGGCATCCCTGATCGGGTGTGTTCGCGACGACGTGCGTCATCTGGTCAAGGCACGGATGTGGTGGAGGTGGCGTCAGTGGAGGACAGCAATGGCAGAGCTGGGCATTGCTCCTAGTACTCCCTTCCCCCTCGAAAACAATGGCGCTCGGTCGCCGGACAACAGCAGTGGTGATGGCGACGTGGAAGGCAGGATGGTCCATGATGTGGAGGCGGTGGACGAGTAGGCGCAATGGACTGAAAAAATGGGTATATGTAGTGCCATGGCGGCATGAGCTGTGCCGTCAAGGAAACTGGGCGAGGCTGATTGCTACACGGATGGCGGTGCCTAGGTCGTTGGACCTGTACAGGAAGCTTTGTACTATGTGTGAACACCTTCTGATGCTAGATGTAGTTCTATCCCCTGGTGTGAAAGAGTGCGTACTGCATTGATTTCGCAATGTGGATGTCTTGTAGTGGCGCATAATGAATATCCTCCAATGTCTGATTACATATGCACCTCGCGGATGACCCTTACTAGTTTAACAAAAGGTGTAGCAGATGTTGTTATGGTGCTGCCATGTTGGGTAACAAATGACTCGACTGTATAACGAGATATGTGGATAACTTTGCGTCATGGTGTCGCCATGTGGACAAAAGCCGCCAGATGACGGACGCAGTATGACCGACAAGTGATTGCCACGTGTAATGGGGGGGTACAGCACAGACGTGCCCTTGGGTTGGACGCAGAATGCGTAAGTAGTGACCAATATGTAAGCCAGACTCATTCTTGCCCACAACTGTGTTCACGATGGACAGTTTCACAGTGTCGTCACGTGAGGGCAGGAGTCAGCGCGTGTCACAACCGCCTGCCTTCTGCCTGGGAATGTTAGGCGTAAGGTGACGAAGAAGCCTCGTCTGGATGTTTCGAAACATGCCACCGAGCAGCAAGCAAGGGGTCCTCCCTCGCCGCCACGTGAGTGACCAACGTTTCGCCCTGCTAATGCGTCTGATGCTTCGTCCATTCTACACCGGCTTGTGACATTCATGCACAGTATGCTCGTATGTGCTTTGCGCTTGTCACTTAACTCCGTTGTTTGTTTCCTGGTTTGAGATGCAGCCGTGACACCATCTCATGGGACTCGCGCGGACTCGCGTATGTCGCATGGGAGCACTTCAGAGGGTAGTTCCTCCTCTGCCCAGTCCAGCCGGCAGGTTGACGAGGCCACTGCATCCAGCGGGAAGGCGGGTCGCAGGCGCAAGCGTCCCGTTCAAGACGTCATCGAGGGCTCTGCACAAGTGGAGGGGGAACCTGACGCACCCCCGGCGCCATCATCGGACGACGATCCAAACGAGGCTCTCCCAAGTCGTAACCCACGCCGCACTCAAGACGAAGATGGTCCTGAAGCGGACAACAATGCTGAGGCCGACGCAGAAGGGGACGACGCCGGCGCGGGAGGTGCTCCTAATGACGCACCAGTCACGCGCGAGGAGCTGCATAGCATGAAGGAGCTCCATGAAGCCACGGCACGTGCGATTGCAAGGCTGGAGACGGCGTTCCTTGCGAAACCAAAGGAAGACGGCAACAATAAGAAGAGGAGGAGGCGAAAGCGCGGCTCCGGCAAGGGAAAGCGCCGGAAGGCGCGGAGGGCACGCTCGACGTCCGATACGGCGTCCGATGAGGAGGGGGACTTCGACGACGAGGACGAGGGCCACCTTCGACACTCCACATCTGCCATTATGCAGGAGGCGCTCGACCTCCTCCCGGCCGACAAACCCTGGAAGGTAAGACTCGAGTCTTGTAGGGTCGCATATTGGATGGATTGTGCCGTACACAGAGTGGAACATGCGTGGTGACTGATGACGTAATGCGTGGTCTTACATTGCAGGAGGTTTGTGAGCAGGCCCGCACCGAGCTGTTCATTAGGCGCTCCAACTCGCAGCTGACGTTCTACCCCAGCAACGCAGCCAAGACATGGGCCATCTGCGCGGTCGTGGATAACCTGACTGAGAGCTACGCAAGCGTTGCTCTCGCTGCGTGCAAGGCACGTCGGATCGACCTGAACAGGTCGTTCAGCGACTGGAAGACTGGTGCGGCAGGAAGAGTTCGCGACATCTCGCTGCCTAAGATTGGAGTGTTTCGACACGGCCGAGACATGAAGAGTCCCTGGGCGACACGGGCGAGGCGCACCCTGTCCCGAATCCGAGATAGGGTCGGCCTTGGAGACGTGCCTGCGGGTAAGGACGAGAGTGCATTGCACATGCAGAGGAAACCGTTATTAAATGTGCACTATGTGTGTGCGCGTTGTTGCAGGTAAGCTGGCTCTCTCTCGGTGGAGTTGCGACCGTGACGGGATGCCGTTCACGTCTGGGGCGTTTACAGCATGCGCACGGGCGGCGTTCAAGCCAAGGATGGTGAACGGGATCGTGACACTGAAGCTCTACCACGTGGCATGGCTGGAGCACGTGGTACGCATACGCCTTGCAACTTTACATCACTTAAAGTACCAGGGAGAGTGTCCTCACGCGCGCGGGTATGTGGTTTGCCGTGCGCAGGTGTCAGATGCAGTCATGCACTGGGAGGCGCGCCAGGGTCGCTTCGCCAACTCCGCAAGCTCCAACGCGCAGATCGTGGACGGCCTCCACGTCCTCGTCAAGGCTGCGGTTAGGGGGGCCATCGCGGATTTCCGGCCCGACTATGACGAGGCGTCCCAGAGCTGGGCGTGGGGCCGCCATGGTCTGCGCATCTCGGCCGACGGCATCGCGGCAGCCGACGCAGTGAGCGCGGAGGCGAGCGTCAGCCGCAGGACTCCGCAGGCATAATCGGTCGAATTTCGGGAGGCGATGCGTGGCATCGTTAGCTGGTGCCTAGAATCGTAGCTAAACCATTTGCCTAATGCGTGTGGGGCGGCGTTGGATGGGAACCGTGGCAGGCCGTGTGAGGAGGCTATCACGCATGGGATTTGGTATGGCATCAGCCGCGTGTTCTAGTGATTGTGGTAAATTGCGTGTCCGCATTGAAGGAACAAGAAGATATGAATGATTTATCACGGGAAGTCGTGAGCAACGGGGAAACATAACCCGTCACCCATTTTGCAGAAAGTGTAATGAGGCAGACAATCACGGCCATTGGCGTAGGGTTACAAACGCGGAATGCGGTTCGGATGTGTGCCGTTCGATGCGGTTAGATATGGACCGCGATTCGGTTCGAGACGGTCCAACCCAGCTTATCGTGGGGCTGTGCGTGGCGAGCCCTAGGCCTACTGGAGCCGTAGATGCAAGTGCAACGGCAGCCCGGTCAACCGTTAGATAATGGTGTGGTGGACGGTCGAGGGAATGACAGGTGGGCCAGCACACACGGCTTCATTTTATGCGTACAACGTACACGTGTGTCAATATCAACGGACGGGAATAATTACACGTTGGCATTGGTGAGATCCGTCTGGCGGTGGCGGATGCGATGTATCGTCGATGCGTGTGTACGTGGACGGTCGGATGCACTGGTGGAGTATAGGTGTAGTAATCAAGAGACTAGTTCCAGCCGTACACGTTGCCATAATTCAACGGCATCCGCCATATGCACGTGGTGGGATGGCGACGTGCTGTATGTATTGTCGACCAATGGGTGGCAGGTCTTATCGTAAGATGGCGCGCGGGCATTGGTTACAGTGGCGGACATCGAAGGGTGTGGATGCGATCCCAGGTTATTAGGGGTCGTCCACGTGAAGGCTGTTGGTTGGACAGGACTGTGGCTCGAGTCGCATTGTACTGTACGAGCAATGTAACTTAGGGTATGGCATGATGACGTCATGGTCGCCACGTGTATGGTCCCTATAAGATCGTGTCTAATCGTGGCATTTGTTATTCACCCGACGGAGGAAACCCCGGTGTGACTTGTGCGTGACTTGCATGTGACCGACCCGTGACGGTGGTTGTGACGCGGGAGAAGCTTTTCCGTGACATTTCCGTGACATCACCGTCACATTGGATGTGACCGACCCGTGACGGGGGTCTTGGCACTTCCAAACATCACCTTTTTACCCCCAAAAACCGTATACGAAAATGTGACGGAAATGTCACATTTTCGTCACTTCTGGCCCTTGCTTTTTCCGTGATGTTGATCATGAGGATTGAGAAGGCGAAGCGGCGCATGCGGTACCACATGAACTCGAAGCCACCGAGGCGTAAGAAAATCTCCCCGTTGACTATGCGCACGTGGCCGACGCACGAGAGCACCTGGATGTGACGGTGGGAAGGAACGAGAGAGGGTGACATAACGGTGAGACCTCTTTTAAATTGAAATTGGACGCGCGGGAAAGAACAAGGGAAATGAGTGAAAACAGGAAATGCGAAAACTCTGTTACACGCGAGGGGAAGAGGGGCGTCGAGGATATTTACATGATCCATGCGTCCCATTCGGTGTAAAATGCGCGAGCTGATCATTCCGCGCGCGCCCATCCCCCGCTTCACCCCGGGAATCCCCATCCACGGGCGCAGATACGAATGCGCCAGACACGCCAGCCGGCGGACTGTGGTGGATCTATTGCGCGCAGCAAGCTCAGGGAAACCCGCGAGATCAGCGACGCACTCGTCGTTGCGACGGTTGGTGACGCCTGAAATATCGCAGGATCCATAGTCCGTCTCGTCACGGAAGCTTCTTTCCACCGGTTCTGGCGGCGGATTTTGAGGTAAGGCGTGGCCCCCATGATCATTAGGTCCAAAACGGAGAAGCATTTCAGAGTTCACGGGCTGGTTCCATCGAAGCGAGTTGCTGCGGCTGGCACTGACCTGCGTGATGAAACAAAGGGATGCGGAGGTTAACAATCATGTAAGGAGGAATTGTAACCAGATAAACAGCCCCAATAAGTAAGGAGTCCGCGTTGCTCCATCCATAAGATAGCGTTCGAGTATTCCACGCTTGCTGTTGCTTCTGGATTGCGTCGAGTGCTTGGAACTTCTATTGCTCATTTGCTCAAAGTGATGCTGCGTTTATACAAAAACAGCCGCTGCTTCCTGCATTTCTAGGCTTGCACCTGCTGATCCATGTGCCAATTGTGGAGAATCTCCCAACAATGAAGGAAATTGCCAGACGAGCCGCGTGCTCATGGGACTCTCCTCGCCGAGCCGCCTTGTCCCAGCTCTCCCAGACATTTGACGCGCCTGAATACCCAGGCCGAGGTGCGCGAAGTTCTGCCCCTTCAAACATTGGATACAGAATGTCGCGCTGGGAAACGAGACTCCGCCAGCT